CCATAGTTTATGAATGATGTGCATTTGACCGGAGGGGATGCTCATGGTTCGGGGATGATGTCACAGAGCTGTTGACAGTGTCAGCTTCATGTGTCATGTATAAATACCTTAACTCAGTCACCCCTACAGAATTACACTGGACTTGCTCAGTCATTGATTTGGTAAGGTTCAAATGTGACTTTAGGGGTGAATGGGTTAAAGAATGGAGTAGAATAAGAGATATTACTGGGACAATTTAAGACATTTTGAAAATTTTGTTTGAATTGCACAAACTGAAATGTTCTGACTTTAGTTTTATATAACACACTGAACAACACATACTTACCTATTTACAGCCCATTTTGTTACTCTAGCTAGGATGATCATCTTCTAACCTGATTGAAAAGACAACTGAAAATTATAAGATAAGGAAACTAAAAGTTGTAGAGAAATTAAATTTGACAGGAACAAAGGAATGGAATGGAAATTGAAGATCAAGACAAGATGTAAAGTTAGATGATACCCATAATGTTTAAACTGGATACGACTCACTGACTGTTTAACCTGGATACGACTCACTGACTGTTTAACCTGGATACAACTCTCTGACTGTTTAACCTGGATACGACTCACTGACTGTTTAACCTGGATACGACTCACTGACTGTTTAACCTGGACACGACTCACTGACTGTTTAACCTGGACACGACTCGCAGACTGTTAACATGCTAAATGTTCCCTAGACAGTGAATGTACTTAACATTTAGGGTGTACTCTTCAACTGTTGTATGTATATATATACAATATAAGTAATTCCTGCCCTGCCAGGTAAATTAGGTTACCATGGTGACTTTCCACTAGACTGATTCCTGGCCTACTGTTTCAGGGACTCCGAATATCCATTTGCAACCCTTGGCCCTAATGCCTATAGTCATACGAGTCTAACATACCACCTTTATATGGCTACATAAATAATATAACCTAGTGCCATTTTTTCCCTCTAGTCTCCTCATTACATTGGGTCAACAACCTTCACGTTCTAAAGGGGGACACTTAGTTCTAGATGAAAAAATAACCAGATATATTGTTTAATATTTCGACAGCAAATCTTTTGTTGATAGAAGACATGATAGATTAGGTAATGAGATGTGTAGACAGTCATTGTCTGACAAGATAAACACTATACAGAAACAAAGAAAATAAATTGTCGGTAAATACAGGTGTTGGTAACTACAGGTGTCAGTAACTACAGTTGGCAGTAACTACAGTTGTCAGTAACTTAAAGGTGCCAGTAATTACAGTTTCTTCATGTATCAGTTACTAAAGGTGTCAATAATTACAGGCGTTGGTAACTAAAGGTGTCAGTAATTACAGGTGTTGGTAACAACTGTAACTTCAGAAGTCATTAAATATGAATGTCATTTTCTCAGGTGTCGGTAACTACAGGTGTCGGTAACTACAGGTGTCAGTAACTATGGAAACTACAAATTACTGCAGTTACTTCAGGTATCATTAAAAACAGATGTTAGTAACAATACGTGTGAGTTACTGCCACCGTAATTAACAACAGATGTTAGAAACAGTATGTGTGAGTTACTGACACCGTCATTAACAACAGAAGTTAGTAACAGTACATGTGAGTTACTGCCACCGTTATTAACAACAGATGTTAGTAACAATATGTGTGAGTTTCTGCCACCGTCATTAACAACAGTAGTCAGTAACAGTATGTGTGAGTTACTGTCACCGTCATTAACAACATTAAGTTCAGGGGTCATTAAATATGGGTGTCAGTAAGTTCAATTGTCAGTATGTACAGGTGTCATTATCTACAGGTGTCATCAAATAGGGTGTCAGTAAGTACAATTCTCAGTATGTACAGGTGTCATTATCTACAGGTGTCATCAAATAGGGTGTCAGTAAGTACAATTCTCAGTATGTACAGGTGTCATTATCTACAGGTGTCATCAAATAGGGTGTCAGTAAGTACAATTGTCATGTAAAATTAAGGTATCTTTAAATACAAGTGTCAGTATCTACAGGTGTCATTATCTACAGGTGTCATCAAATAGGGTGTCAGTAAGTACAATTGACATGAAAAATTAAGGTATCTTTAAATACCATTGTCAGTATCTACAGGTGTCATTATCTACAGGTGTCATCAAATAGGGTGTCAGTAAGTACAATTGTCAGTATGTACAGGTGTCATTATCTACAGGTGTCATCAAATAGGGTGTCAGTAAGTACAATTCTCAGTATGTACAGGTGTCAATATATACAGGTGTCATTAAATATGGGCGTCAGTAAGTACAATTGTCAGTATGTACAGGTGTCAATATCTACAGGGGTCATTAAATAGGGTGTCAGTAAGTACAATTCTCAGTATGTACAGGTGTCATTATCTACAGGTGTCATCAAATAGGGTGTCAGTAAGTACAATTCTCAGTATGTACAGGTGTCATTATCTACAGGTGTCATCAAATAGGGTGTCAGTAAGTACAATTCTCAGTATGTACAGGTGTCATTATCTACAGGTGTCATCAAATAGGGTGTCAGTAAGTACAATTGACATGAAAAATTAAGGTATCTTTAAATACCATTGTCAGTATCTACAGGTGTCATTATCTACAGGTGTCATCAAATAGGGTGTCAGTAAGTACAATTGACATGAAAAATTAAGGTATCTTTAAATACCATTGTCAGTATCTACAGGTGTCATTATCTACAGGTGTCATCAAATAGGGTGTCAGTAAGTACAATTGTCATGAAAAATTAAGGTATCTTTAAATACAATTGTCAGTATCTACAGGTGTCAGTATCTACAGATTATGATTTTAGGCTGATTTTATTTCATTTCTATGGTGACTATTTTACATACCAGGCTAGCCAATAAGGGTAGTTTGATAGTCTGAGACTAGTGAAATCTCAAGCTAGACTAGTGGTTATAGAAAAAGCTAGCTAGATTGACTCTTGTCAATATTTGATATTATCATGTTGAATAATATTTAGTTAGGGAAATTTGCACACAGACTACTAAAACCTGACAGACTAGTTGTTTTTAAAATTAATTTCTAGCCCTGAAATTATGAAGTATCTCTACGGAACAGGACACTACCACATAAAGTCGCTAATCTAACGTGTAACTATACCTGTCAGATAAAGTGTTATGTAACTATACCTGTCAGATAAAGTGTTATTTGCTAATCTAACGTGTAACTACACCTGTCAGATAAAGTGTTATGTGCTAATCTAACGTGTAGCTATACCTGTCAGATAAAGTGTTATGTAACTATACCTTTCAGATAAAGTGTTATGTAACTATACCTGTCAGATAAAGCGTTATTTGCTAATCTAACGTGTAACTACACCTGTCAGATAAAGAGTTATGTGCTAATCTAACGTGTAACTATACCTGTAAGATAAAGTGTTATGTGCTAATCTAACGTGTAACGATACCTGTCAGATAAAGTGTTATGTGCTAATCTAAAGTGTAGCTATACCTGTCAGATAAAGTGTTATGTAACTATACCTGTCTGATAAAGTGTTATGTGCTAATCTAACGTGTAGCTATACCTGTCAGATAAAGTGTTATGTAACTATACCTGTCAGATAAAGTGTTATGTGTTATGATCTAACGTGTAACTATACCTGTCAGATAAAGTGTTATGTAACTATACCTATCAGATAAAGTGTTATGTAACTATACCTGTCAGATAAAGAGTTATGTGTTATAATCTAACGTGTAACTATACCTGTCAGATAAAGTGTTATGTAAGTATACCTGTCAGATAAAGTGTTATGTAACTATACCTTTCAGATAAAGTGTTATGTAACTATACCTGTCAGATAAAGTGTTATCTAACTATACCTGTCAGATAAAGTGTTATGTGCTCATCTAACGTGTAGCTATACCTGTCAGATAAAGTGTTATGTAACTATACCTGTCAGATAAAGTGTTATGTAACTATACCTGTCAGATAAAGTGTTATGTGTTATAATCTAACGTGTAACTATACCTGTCAGATAAAGTGTTAGGACCATGCAACGATCTCTTCCTGCTAAGGATATTTGCTGTACACTGAGGGTGATTATTCAAAATAGTCAATGATTTGTAGCCACTATGGTTTTGTTTGATGAGACTTTCCAGGGTGTGTGTTGTGATGTCTGGTATGGGTTTAGAGATATTTAAAGGGGATATCGTTGCCTTGTAAACAAAGTTTAGTGCCTGTAGTCTGTTTATGAATAGCATTTTCAAGTTCAAAAATACTTTTATCTGGTCAGTTAGACCATTTCCTAATGCTAATACGTATGTAGGAGATGGAGGTGATATCTAGAAGGTCTGTTACATTTGTTGTAATGGTCAATCTTACAGGGTTTATTTCTCACAGTTTTCAGGTCTAGTGACAGTGCTGCAATAAGGATGCATTAATGAACTTATTTGTGAAGTTATGTTTCATTGAAATATTATAACCTTGAAAATGGCATTTACATTATACTGGTTTAAACCAGTGGAGTACTAGGTACCACCTGATAATTAGATAAGATAGAGGAATGCTGGCACTTCATACAGGTGGGTCACAAGTGGCTGACACACCTGAGCTTTGGGCACTTTAGTACCTGTCCAATCACCTGTAGTAACATGTTACAGTAAATGATGAGCTGAAACTGCCCAAAGTTCACCGACTGTCACTGGTACCTAGCATAGTCACATGTCCTGTTACCTATCGGTGGGCTGCTGTCGTAGTGAGACAGCCCAAAGTTCAAAGACTGCTCAACCTGTATCAACATGGCACGGAGCTTCTGTTGAGGGATTGACTGGCTAGGTGCCCTTGGCTCTGCGGCTTTGTCATACTGATAGCATCCATACCCTAGCTATAGGCCGTGTTTGTGTGTCGTACAGAGACAGGTAAATGGATAGGTGTATAGACCCAAAGTAAGGCTATTCTGATCATCTTGGCACAAACTTATTTACACCTGAGAGTTTTTATTGTTGGTGGATCCTGGTGCTGCGAGTGGAGGTGTGGAGTGACTGTGTGTAGATAGACTATCATATACCTGTACTTCACATCGTCATTAAACCTGAAACAAATCGGTGCATGCTGCAGGTCACAGGGTTCAACCAAGTTCTATCAGATACAGGTGAAACGTGTACCCTATATATCTTCACACAGATAGACAGCTACCCAGCTATCTATTTATAGATTTACCTGTACCTTACCTGCAGTGACACTAAGGTATCAGTACGAGATAAGGCCAGGTAGGGAGTTTTTCTCATCTCTTGGGAGGAAGGAATTAGCCGTATACTGCTGTGGCTATTTACTAGCACGGTGCCTGCTATCAGTGAACAGCACTGTTGACTTTTGAATGCTGTATGTATATACATACACATGTAATTAAAGGACCACTTTAGACATCATTATTACCATCATGGAGACATGCTGATGGAATACTTTCAGAACACTTATGAATGGTTAGCTACATTATGGACATAAATTAATAATAAATCATACGACAAGGGCTCTCAAAGTGGAGAAAGTTTGGATAGTTTTATGGCTATAGGAGCAATGTCAACTGTTCAGGTATCGCAGCCCATATAAAGCTGAAGACTTTTAAATACGGCATTTTTCTGCTAGAAGCACTGTCAGATTGTCTCGGTATTAACGCCTGTAGGAGTGAGAACATTTAAATAACAGGTATCCTGCAAGGCTGTGTCTTGGTGAGAGAAGAACTCCGTGTTTTACCTTTATCCCCACTGCCTGACATTCTTTGATTGGCATTCAGACCGGCGAGGAGGGAATATTAACACCAAGTGCCATTGTTGGCTAGGTGCTATACACCGACAAATTCTTTTAATGAGACAATCCTCTGTGGTAGGGCCGTTGACAAACTCTGTGTGCCAAAAGATTGGTCCTACTGCCGACATGCCAAAACTCACCTAGGCTGCCCTGCTGTGTCTCAGAGGAAAAAACTTTTTATAATCATCACTCAGGCGAGTCATTTTATACAAGACGGCCCAGTGACTGTGATTGGAGGAGAAATCTCTCAGAAACCTGAAGGCAACTGGTTTTCTAGGCTTCTAAAAATAATCCGGTGAATTGAACTCGTATTATTGACTGAAGTATGTACCATGTTAAGTGAAGCAAGCCAGCAGGCAAGCAGACAGTATAAAGATTGGCACCCTGCATACTTGTCGTCATATGGGACAATTTTTTATGTGGAACACCTTGTTTGCGGCTTTCTTGACTTCCATTGGTTGACGTAATCAGGTATCGGCAGGAATCAGGCTGTGTCATCGGGACAACAATACACACACACATCATCTCCCACTCTCACAGACTACCTCTACCTGAGCTGGTGCCACAGGCAACAACAGCGTAGCAGACGACAGTCACAACCTGAGATCCGCCTCATTTAATTGGAGAAAGTTGACAGATATTTCAAAGAGTATGGTGAGTGTTACTTTAACAAATAACACTTAAACAAGTTTTCTATTTTTTCAGTGAAAGTTTTTGAGTTATCAATACTTTTGTTCAAAACTTTTGTATGAGTTTTGTGTCGGTTGTTCTAAGAAGCTCATATGGTTCTACCTGAGTGGGTTTCCGGGCTGTAGCTGTAAGATTTAGTACATACAACAGCGATGAACCTACCTGTCTCCTATACATATATATTCACGACAGTACTTAGGTCTTCTGGTTCAATAGTTCATCATCTTTCGCTATTACTATTATCAAAGACATTTTCTGTTCTTTTGTCAGACAATGTGTTCGTGTCTGAAAGGAAGCAGAGATCCATTATGGTGACAAGTGCCAAAAACTTGCCCTAGCCCTATAGAAATGCTGGGTATGTGGGAATGCCTGGAGAGGGCTGAAGGTCTCATGATCTCTATCAATTCCCAGGGCTTCAGGTGCCCATGGCTCTTGTTTGTTTAGCTCTACCAATCAGCTCCAGGACGGATAAAAGGTCTTTTCCGCTAGAGTTATTGAAAGCTTTCCTACTTTGAGCCCCATTTTGGAGAGTTGTGTGGAGAGCTATGGCTGGCTTTATTGTAGATAATCCATATCCTGTATTTACAAAAAAAAAAGAGTTGGTGACAGTCTGGGAGTGAGGGTTTGTCATACCTGTAATAAATAGTGTTGGTTTCCAGAACTGGTGGTTTTGGCCCCTGGAGTCAGTTCCTGTCATAGAGAGAGGGTGACTCACATACAAAATTGGCAAATAAAGCCTCATATTGAGTCGACGTGACTTGATTGTCAAATCCATGCTATCAAGTTTTGGATTTCAATTTTTATGACTTTTCAATTTTGATTTAGCTTTATTGTAGTAAAAGGTGACAACTTTTTTCCTAATACTAGTATTACTTTATGAAGCAGCAGCTAAAACTCCTTTAATGCACCTCAGTCTGACGTGGTACAGTGGAGGTGTAGCAGACGACACCTTACAGAACGAGCTGGACTTTTTATGTATTTCTGACAAAAGTCCAGATGTTGGGTGGAATGGTGTGTGTCTGTTGGTGTGTAAGAATGTTAATGAAACCAGATTCTCATCAGTTTTCTGAAATTATACACCGGTCGGTGTATTTAAAATTAACAGATTTGGAAGGTGGAAATTGTTCACATTTTTAGCCAGAATTTACATAAATAATTTTGTTGTTCAAGGGTCCATCACGTTTATTTTGTACCATTATGTAAGTATAAATCTTCAGGTGAAGCAGAATTAGACTATTTTTAATGTGTCTAATTATTACAAACTCACTGAGGTATGAACAATTCTCAGTACTAAATAAGATCAGTTTCTAATTTGGTTCTAAGACTTACAGTTGTGGAGCATGCACACCCATGTAGGATTAATTAGCTTTTAATTATGTGCATTACTATTCAGGGGGAAAATTTAATTATATTTGCTCTTTTAACCAAAATTTGTCATAAAAGATTATTTTTGTATAGTGTGTTACAATCAAGATCCAGGATTTCCTTATGAAGTGAAAAATAAAAACAGTTATAAGTTCTGATAACTGTGTATTTAAGGTACTAACTGGGGAGTGTTAGTACCTGTGTGTTTTGGTACTAACTGTGGAGTGTTAGTACCTGTGTGTTTTGGTACTAACTGGGAAGTGTTAGTCCCTGTATGTTTTGGTACTAACTGGGGAGTGTTAGTACCTGGGTGTTTCGGTACTAACTGGGAAGTGTTAGTACCTGTGTGGTTTGGTACTAACTGGGGAGTGTTAGTACCTCTGTATTTTGGTACTAACTGGGGAGTGTTAGTTCCTGTGTATTTTGGTACTAACTGGGGAGTGTTAGTTCCTGTGTATTTTGGTACTAACTGGGGAGTGTTAGTACCTCTGTATTTTGGTACTAACTGGGGAGTGTTAGTACGTGTGTATTTAAGGTACTAACTGGGAAGTGTTAGTACCTGTGGGTTTTGGTACTAACTGGGGAGTGTTAGTACGTGTGTATTTAAGGTACTAACTGGGAAGTGTTAGTACCTGTGTGGTTTGGTACTAACTGGGGAGTGTTAGTACCTGTGTATTTAAGGTACCAACTGGGAAGTGTTAGTACCTGTGTGTTTTGGTACTAACTGGCGAGTGTTAGTACCTGTGTGTTTCGGTACTAACTTGGAAGTGTTAGTACCTGTGTGTTTTGGTACTAACTGGGAATTGTTAGTACCTGTGTGTTTTGGTACTAACTGTGGAGTGTTAGTACCTGTGTGTTTTGGTACTAACTGTGGAGTGTTAGTACCTGTGTGTTTTGGTACTAACTGTGGAGTGTTAGTACCTGTGTGTTTTGGTACTAACTGTGGAGTGTTAGTACCTGTGTGTTTTGGTACTAACTGGCGAGTGTTAGTACCTGTGTGTTTCGGTACTAACTGGGAAGTGTTAGTACCTGTGGGTTTTGGTACTAACTGGGGAGTGTTAGTACGTGTGTATTTAAGGTACTAACTGGGAAGTGTTAGTACCTGTGGGTTTTGGTACTAACTGGGGAGTGTTAGTACATGTGTGTTTTGGTACTAACTGGGGAGTGTTAGTACGTGTGTATTTAAGGTACTAACTGGGAAGTGTTAGTACCTGTGGGTTTTGGTACTAACTGGGGAGTGTTAGTACCTGTGTGTTTTGGTACTAACTGGGGAGTGTTAGTACCTGTGTTTTGTACTAACTGGGGAGTGTTAGTACCTGCAGTATGTTACCTTCATATGAATTTATTATCATTTGTTTTAACACAAAAGCTAATTTTATGGGTAAGAAATGTGGTGCATCTCACATACCAGAATATGTTGTGAGCATTGGGACGTCTTGTGAAGTTTAAATTACAACAGATTATAGAGAAATCCTGTTACGAGTTTTCAACTTTGAAACTAGAAAATCAGGGGTACTTTTTGTCATACCTTAGAGCTGTCTCAACAAAAGTCTCAGTCGCTATATTGAAGGTTTTGTCCAGGTAAACCATGTTTATGTGTGGTAGTGTCACAGCAATTCCATATAAGGGAATAGAAAGTACCTTGAAGTAGAAACTCTGACCTCGTATTGGAAGCCTGACCTTAAGGTAGAGCCTGTGACCCGATATTTATTGATTGACCTTGCAGTAGAAACTCTGACCTCGTATTAGTAGCCTGACCTTAAGGTAGAGCCTGTGACCCGATATTTATTGATTTACCTTGAAGTAGAAACTCTGACCTCGTATTGGTAGCCTGACCTTAAGGTAGAGCCTGGGACCCGATATTTATTGATTGACCTTGAATTAGAAACTCTGACCTCGTATTGGTAGCGTGACCTTAAGGTAGAGCCTGTGACCCGATATTTATTGATTGACCTTGAAGTAGAAACTCTGACCTTAAGGTAGAGCCTGTGACTCGATATTTATTGATTGACCTTGAAGTAGAATCGATGACCTTTAATTGTCTGATTGACTTTGAGGTAGAATCTATGACCTTATATGGGTTGATTGACCTTGGGATAGAAACTAATACCTTATTTCAGTTTTCTGGCCTCGCGGTAGAACCAGTGACCTTGGACTGACTGTCTGACCTTGGGCAACACATTGGAATGTACCTGGATACTTTTAATAATAGTTAATTTTCCTTATAAAGAGACTTTTAAGGGCTATCTATACGGTTGACAACTAGCATTGTTGGAGACATCAAGTGTGAGAACTTATATACACCTATCTGTCCGGTGAACATTTATACAGTAAGCTATTTGTCACAGGATATAGGGTATTTTGTTTAAAAAAATTGGAAATTCACACGATAGACTGAAAGAACCAAATTTTCAGTAATATTACTTAAGTGTATTTTGTTGATGGCAATATACCTGTGTATAATTTTGCTTTGTCATTTGTAAAGTGCTGATGCACCATCCACTTGCATGGTGTTCAGTGTTCCATCTGTACTGGAACAGGTTCAGGATGTAATGGAGTAAAGTTAAAAAAAAATGTCAAAAATTGATATTTTCTTGATAATCATCTTAATCCCAATTTAAAAAAAGTTTTAAACCCAGATCTTATGGTGCACCTCTACATGTTCGTGAAGGCTGAGGTATAAATGTTTATTGGTGATGAGAGGTGTACAGCGAGTCCCATTGAGGCAGGCCTGAGGGATAAATGTTCATTGGTGATGAGGTGTACAGCAGAGTCCCAGTGTGGCAGGCCTGAGGTATAAATGTTCATTGGTGATGCGGTGTACTCCCGCGAGTCCCAATGAGGCAGGCCTGAGGTATAAATGTTCATTGGTGATGAGGTGTACTGCAGCGAGTCCCATTGAGGCAGGCCTGAGGTATAAATGTTTATTGGTGATGAGGTGTACAGCGAGTCCCATTGAGGCAGGCCGGCCAAACTTTCTCCCTGAAAGTCAAGGGTCTTGACAAGCACTGAGAACTTTCTCAGGTATTCCAGCGTGTTGCTATTTGTCAGAAGGGATCCAATTACTTCTTGACAACAGAACCGTGGGCTGTATATCAATCTAAATTACCTTTATTGGGGAGAGAGAGATGGCTGGTCACACCATTCTGTTGGGCAGGTACACTATATCTCGTTTACCTGTGCATGACAGTGAATCCCAACCAGAACCCGGTATACAATTAATGCCCTCTTTGTCTGCGAGAGCTGGAAACCTCAAAGGGTGCCTTTGACGGTCTGAGCCAGCCGAATAAAATTGATCTAATGGAATAAATCATGTTAGATGACTTTGAGTGTATCATCGGTACACCCAGTCAGTCTAGTTTATAACCAGTGGCCCATTTTTATTGGGTACTGTAAAAATTTGACAGGGCCAGGCCATTAGTCTGGGAAAATGGCAGTTCCCATTCAACAGGTGGGAAGTTATAAAATCATATTTCAAATCCTCGCATTCAACGGTGGGATCAGCATAAAAGTTTGTCTCTGGTGGGACGGTAAGGCTGCAGTTGTCGTGTTGGACAATTACTAATGGGCATTTACATGTCTCTCTCCGGACAGTGGTC